TGCAAATGTTTTGCTTTAATTTCTAGCTGCTGAATGCATTTTTAGTGAAAAATAATGAAAACAATTGCATGGTGCAAGTTTTTAATTGGACTGCGCAGCAAAGTGGCCCTCATTCGACCCCCTAATGAAACTTCAATGCGATACAATTGAACTAACAAGTTTCCGCTTCGCTAACTGTCAGAAGGACCAGAAGGACCTCTCCGGCTCTTCCATATTTGCGTAATTACTCTGACATTTCTACTACTGCCCTGTCTGCACTTCGGCTGCTGCGAAAGCGTATCATGGAACTGATTGCCGTTTCACTTAATTCGAATCTTGGCTTGTGGTTTGGTTCGAGTGCTCGCTCTTGATGTGAATGTGCTATGGGACGTATGATTGCATAGGATACTCGTGTGTTTGTTTGCGGCTTACTTGATATTTGATGCTAATTACTTAACAAGATCGATTTTCATTCGGTGTGTTAAGTACTATTATTCACACTACTTACCTGCATCAAAGCTAAGCTTATTTCTTTCTTTTGTATCATTATTATTTAATTTTTTGAGCATTTTTTTGTGTGCTTTTGTTCAACGGCAATAATAAGAACGGCGGCAAGGAAGCCAAATAAAAAATGTGAAAACTTTTTCCGCTAAAAATAAAAGCCAACAAAAACGCCAACAGCAATAGAAAACAACAAGAAACCAGCAACAATGCCAATAAAACGGAAACATTCAAGGCACAACTCATGCAAAAACTGTACTCGGCGCAGAGAAGTATGCTATATATACATATATTTTTTTGTTTTATTAAATCGCCCAACGACTGTCGACTCCTCGACTGGCGGTCTCTTGGCTGCTGTTGGAGGCCCTTTGCCGTCTACTCGGCCAGTCCCTGCATAGTAATTAATGCTTGTAAGTGCCACTCGTCGCGCTATGCGTGTGTGTGTGTGTGTAGGCTGCGCGGCGTTGCCACATTATCAGTATTTTTGGGTGCTGTTTGTTAATTGCATGTTGGCCGCATATGTTCGCTTGTAACTGTGAATTTGGCGGCACCTGCGTCGCCACATTTCTGCAAATGTTCGGCAATTAAAAAGTGTTGCCAAACCTTTATATCAGGGTCGTACCAGAGCCACAGCCAAATCTTTCCATCTCGCTGCCTTGCATTTGCTTTTTTTGCACGTGCCACATGGCGTATGCGTATTGCAGCAAACTTTTCGCAACTTTACATTCATCAGCTGGCCATAAAAGCAACGCTGGAAAGCCATATAAAAAACTTGTAGAAGTTTTCCACACAACGACTAAATGATTAAATTTATAGCCAGTACTTAAATATACCCTCTAGTATAATATGTTTATATATATTATTGAAATTATATTATATGCAATTTGTAATACCCCGTACTTGAATTATAAGAAGCAACAGTTACAAAAACTATAATTTTGCAATAAAGTGTCGGACTTTAGTTCTTTTGTTTAAAGCAAACATTATGGCAAGTTCAATACACCCCACAAAAACTTTTCCTATGTACAGGGTATCATAAAGGTACATAAATTTACACATATTAATGTGCATGCATGTGTAAGCATTCCTTAAATAGACACATATATCATGTGGGCACCTCTCTCGTTGTCCTTGATATGTTTGCGCTTAATAAGTTGACCAATAATACGTAATTTCTTGCAATCAACGCAGATGCGCTTAAATAGGTCAACTAATAGGTCAACTCTAGCAATTAACTAACTGAGGGACATGTTGAGTTTTTAATCATGTTAGCTATATGGGACAGCTAAGATTAATATTAGGTAATATTAATAATAATCTGTGCATGGATAGTTCAGTTTTCTTAGAAATTAACAATAATAGAGCTTGGCATTTAAGCTCTTATGTATATTCTTAATGAAATTTTCACCTATTAGTACAAGAAGGCATTAGAAGAAGGATATTCTGAATCCGACAGAAAGCCTAGCCTTTGCATCAATAGAGAAAAGCGCCAGCTGTAAAGCTGGCTGAAACAAAAGTCACAGTTTAGCTGAATTTAATTTTCCTAACTATTTTAGTGCCCATGCGAACAATTAAAGGGTTTTTTTGAAGGTGAGAATTATTGATAGTTAAAGCTATTAAAATTAATAGCATTATTATATGTATAATTAATTTCTGCTGATGTTGCAAATATGCATGGCTGCTGAAATTGAAATATTTCGTCCAATTGCGTCTGCATTAAATTTGCAACTAATATTGCACTTTAATAATAACACTATGCAACAAAATTAGCTTTTTGCCGCTGTTAGGGTCCGACTTCTTAACATTAAATAAAAATAATAAGAGTAAGGAAATTACTTATTTGTAGTTCTTGAAGGTTTTATTTTCCCAAAATTCTGGGTCTACGAATAAATAGTTGATCAACGCAAATTCAATTCCAATGGTAAACTTATATTATTGTTTGTCGGCCTGTGTAAAGTCTTAGTATGCGATTAGCTATGTATTTTGATATCCCCAGAGCCCAAAGTGATTAGGCAATTGAAGAAAGCGTTTGAATCATTTCACGCCTTCTTATTGCCGCGTTCCGGTTTGCGTGTCTAAGCGCTTAGGTAACAAATATTTGACCAGGCCCAAAAGGTCACGGCACATGCCCTTCTCAGGGTGTGACTTTAGCACTCAATGCAAGCTGCTTAATCGAATCCAAATGTCACTTACATAAGTTCATTATCAGACAAGGCTTGCAAATGATAATTTGATGAAAATCATGTTCGATTGAGGCAACGCGTTGCGAATGGGGACCTCGGGTTCAGTTCAGTTCAGTTCAGTTGAGTTTATTTTTAACGTTCTCTATTTACCGCATTTGTGTGAACTATGTGGGCGTATGTGTATATGTTTGTGGGGGCGGGGCGGGTGGTTTGTATTTGTGAATGAATCTAGAGCACACCTTGATGCTATTTTTAAACGCAACAGCAACAACAGCGACAGCAACAAATGCCGTTTAGTTTTTTTTTGTCCATGTTGCCGCCGCATCCTTTGTGCAGCATCATAGGCCAAGCATGTGTTGTTGTTTGTGCTCTTGCCATTAGTTGCAAGCACTTAAAAAATAGCTAGGTAAATAACGTCAAGTATTATTTAATGAAATGCAGCTGAAGAGCCCTCACGGCATGAGGATGTCTCTTAATGCAATGATACTGTAATTTATATAACAAGAGTGTGTCCTGACTGTGGCAAGACCTGGCTAACTTACACGGCAGTTACCTTATGTGAAGTAAGGTTGTGTACAACTTTGAAATTGATTGGAAAGTGTTTGGCATATATCAGTTAATCGAAGTATTCGAACCGCTGGAATATGGAAGAAAAGGCAATGTCTACAACTTGCAGACAAAACATGTCCCAGGCTAAATTGTGTAAAACCTGCTAGCTTATATTTTTATTAGCATATATTAATAGTTAAGTATGCCATTACGAATTGAATATTAGTATTGACTAGGGGATACCCTGTAGCCAAAGATTCTATGATTCTATACAATTCGAAAACCTTAATACCAAAAGTCGCATCTGGCTCGAAGTATATATATATTTTCTTGTTTTCAAGTGACATTCCCACAGCTTGACAGACTAACTTGTCTAGATCAACTTAGTTTATCGAACTGAACAGGAATATATATATATATATATACGTTACACGGTCCGAGCTACTTCCTGCTGCCTGTTGCAAACAATTTTCCCCTTTTACCCATTAAAGAGCAATAAAATTTTAAAAAAGTAATATGTATTTAAAGCCCACAAAAAAAGAAACTGACAAATTTGCATATGTATAAAATAGTTTCAATTCAATAAAACCATCAAGAGATTCTCATATAAATCATACCATAAAAAAAAGGTATTGTTACGCTATCAATATCAACATCCAAATCTAAATTGCCATTAAAATAAAAACTGATGTTCTGCACGAAATGGATGTTGTTTGTTGAGCGATAAAAAACATTCTGTTATTTGTTAAATTTAATTGGATTGTTGCTGAACATACTTACATACATGTATGTTGTGTATGCATGTGCATGTGCATGTGGGATAATGTGCATATGCAGATTTTCAGCGTTGCCAACTGTCTCATTTATCAACCGAATAATGGGTTGAACACAGTTCCCTATGGAATTTAACGACGATATTTAAAAACGATATCACAAAAAATTAAATGTTTATCCTGCTAAAAATAAACATATTTAAATCAAATTAGTTAAAATACCAATTAAAATCCAATTATTTAAATAGACAATGAATGACATGTAAACATGGCATGTCGCATTTCTAGTCCAGACTTAACACTTGTGAGTAAACTAATAAAGCCCACTGTACGCTGCAGGTGCTTTATTTTGGGTTCATTTGTATATGATTTAACGTGTGTTTGCCCGAGGCGCCTAGTTAAATGAATCGCATGCGATTAAAAATTTATGGACATACGTAAATTTAGGGACATACGTTTGGCTTTTGTGCTGTTCAATGTTCAGATTCCATTATATTTTCAAATTCTTTTGCATTTTCCAGTTGCTTTCATGCTTGCTGGTTTTATGTTATGTTACGCAGCCGCACAGTGGAACTTAACATTCAAAATTACTCAAAAATGCGAGTGTAAAAATGGGTAAAGGGTAGAGTCTTGGTTGGAGGTATATTATTTGTTTATTCTGTACCATCTATTATTTTGTTATAGAAAAAATAAAATAGTATAGAAATAATTAACAAATAAATAAGATTAGAAAAATATTAAGGTTTTTCTATAATTATTACTTTTTTTCAAATTTAAGTACTTATTATTAGAAATCTATCTTTCATTCGAAACTATTGTAACATTCACATTGTTGTTCATTTTCGAGCTAATGCTACTTTTGTTCCACTGTGCGTCCGTTAAATAAGTTGTTCTTTATAGTTCGGTCTTGAATGTATAAGTGTGAGTAGGTGATAAATTTGCATTTATATCGCTAGGCTATTGTTTACTTTGTAGGTTAGTTTGTTTGGCTTGTCTGCGCTGTGCGTATATTTACCTTCGATGCCTTTGGCGGCGATGACGACGCGGACGAGGACGAAGACGAGGACGAGGACGAGGACGAGGACGGGAACGACGGAAAACGGACGAGTTAACCTCAAAGCAAGCTCCGATACACCAAGTCAGGACCTCTTGACTTTCCACACTCGACCCGACGCGACGCACTTCACAAGGTCCTCGCTATTCCTGTTTCTATTCTTCGCTCTACCCCCCCCCTTCAGCTTTTGCGTGTCTCGATTTAATTTGGTAATGACTTTGGCTTATTAATTTATTTGCATAGTTGCGCACATTTTTGTTTCATTTTCGGTTTTTTTTTTTTTTTTTTGCCAACTTGTCACTCACATCATTCTGCTCTCAACCCGCACGCACACACGGTATAAATTTTCGTTGTTGTTGTTGTTGTCGTTGTTGTTGTTGTTGCTTAAGTTCGCTTACAAACGCAGCGTCAAAGCAAAAAGCCAAGCAAGCAGCCTGCACAAGTAAAAAAAAAACTGTATCTTTTAGATCCGGGCATATCCTTTATCTCGGACAGCGCAGCAGCGCAGTCATGAGCAGCAGCAGCCGCGGCGTTAGCAGAGCAGCAGCAGCAGCAGCGCTAGCAGCTGCGGCCGTGGCACCGCCAGCAGCTGTAGCTGAAAAGATTTTCGTTTACGCTGCTTTGCAGAAATTCAACGCTCATTTTTAGTACATTTTTGGAGCAACATCAAGAACAACAATCAACAATCGACGACAAGAACAATTAACAAAGCAGCATATCATAAATGCAAATTAAGAACAAACCGCAAAGCGTTGCCGCCAAGCAGTCCCAGATTTCGTTTGCGTTACAGTCGACCCGTTGTCGGTTTTGTTGCCGTTACCGTTACCCAGGAGCCTGTCGACGTGCACACGCGAGTGTCCTATACACAACTGATTACAGTTATAGTCCTTGCAGCAGAGCCGAACGCGACTGCGGCTCGAATGCTAGCTAGGCAGCGACGCTAACGTTCGTTTTCATTTCGCTTTGCGTTCGTGTCGGCAGTACGACGTTGACGTCGACGTCGACGTCGACGACGGCCAGGTTCCGTTACCAAAATTTGACTAAGCACAGCTTTGGTTTTGCCTGACGCCTGACAGCTGAGACTGCGACAGAGACTGTAACGGGAAAGGCAACGGCAGCGTCGACAGCTTCACATTTTGCGCTGGCAGCGGGGCTTCTTGCGGTGAGAGAAAGCGGCTGAGAGAGCACACGAGACGAGAGACGATAGATTGCGAAGGAGAGAGAGGCGGGCAGCAGCTCACTAGGGGGGTTGGTATATGTGCGGTGGCACCCGCGTATACAATGGTACGCATACGTACATATTGTCAGCTTTAAAGTCGACTTTGGTATTCTCTTGCTAAACAAATTAATACTGCCTAACGATTTGAATTTAATTAAATGTATTCGATTGCAATTCTGATTATATGTCTATCTGCAAAAGTTCACAATAGTATTATTTTTCGTGCGGCATCAATAAGTCTCAACTAAAACTTCCTCATTCGGCGTGGCCTACTGAGCCGACACACACCCAGCCTAAAAGCGTGTACCTCCGACACACACCCGCACTTGGCCGCGCCCCATCACAGGTTGTCGAGTCACACAGTCTGGCAGCACCGCAAAACTATGTAGCCGGGTTCGTGCTCATCTCGTCACAACTCTGGTCTGTTTCTAGTATTGCCTCTGTCTCAGGCATATGTTGGGCTCATGTTGTGCTGCTGGCGTCGCAGTCAACGACTCTGTTACGTTTCGCTGTTAGCCGACATCGTCGTCTTTTGTCAGTGCCTGAGAAATTATACCCAAGAGCTTAGGATGAGCATCCTTTGTATGCCGCCCCCGCGTCCTTGTATTGTTGAGTATTGAGCATTGCCACACTTTTCACCAACAACGGACGAGCGCGACAGACGGACGGACATTTTACAGCCAAATGACAAGTGCCTAGTGCATGTGTGTGTGTGTGTGTGTGTGTATGTGTGCACGCGCGTGTATACGGCTCTTGTTGCTTTCTTCTTCTTCTTTTTTACATTTTCATTTTTCAAGCTCTAAAATGGGCAACTTGTGGGACGGCGGCCATGAGGCTGGCTGATGGGCTCGCGGAAACGGCATCGGGTAACGTATAAACGTATAATGGGCATTTGGAAGGTGCGAATATGGCAGGAAGCAATCTAGGCAAGCACTTAGCGCGCGCTTGCGCGCCTTTCAAATTTAGCGTATTAACTCATTAAATGTTCAAAAGCTCATTGCCTGCGAAATGTGCACACATTTGTTAAGCGCGCGCGTGTGTGTGTGTGTGTGTGGGTCTGTGCGTGTGCATGGGTGTGAAATATGCACATGTGTCGCCAACATGGCTGGCTGGACTGCTGTGGCTGGCATTATATGGACTCGGCCCGTGGGCCCGTGGGCCCGTGGGGAAAATTGAGGCCATTCCTTGTACTCGGACGCCGCTTTATGCAATTTAAATTAATTTCTGTAATTATTTTAGTGGTGCACTTAAATGGCTTTATTTAAAATGCCAGGGCTTAGCGTCAGCCCTGCCTTCGTCTGTGGCTCGGCTTAGTGGCATTACGCATACGCCACGTTGCATGTGTCTAAAATATGCACACGAAACTGTAGCACGACTGACTAGAATGACAGCTGCGTGCTGCAAATAATTAAGGTGCGATTGCTTAGAACCTTCACAAATGTTGACTTCGACCAGGCCACAGTCACTGAAATGTGTTGCATTCCGTGGCAGACACTGTGGCACCAACAGTCAACTCTTGCAACAACTTTTCGCAAACGAAACTGAGGCAAAATTATTCACAACTATCTTAACTAAGTTACGCATTTTGCCTAACAAATTGGGAACTGCAATGTCTTGCAATTGTAAAGTTGAAAAAGCATTTTATCTTTTGTTAATATTGTGTATTTGTTTATTTTGACCCTCAACTATTATTAGAAGAGATTACCCGGCATTGTCCGGGTCGATTCTCGGACAACTAACCCACGCAGGCCTATGACGACTTGACTTGCACGACTGGAAGGTTGAATTTTCTAAAGTCCAAAGCTTTAGTAAACATTTCTTAAAGCTAAGATCCTTGCTTTGAACCACGTTCAGTCAGAAATGAATATTTAATATATATGTATGCAGATTAACGATTATCTTTGACAATGTCACCTAAGACCCGGCGAAAATGAGTACAAAATATTGTATTAGATCTCAATACGCTGATGAAAATAATAAAATCTTAAAAACTTTTACGCAAATAAAAAAAAAAGCCTAAAATATTTTGATACGGAATTTTTCTCACTTTCTTAAATTATAAAAATCCCAAATATATTATAACTTTCTTTTGTTTATAAAAATTGACTCAAACTATCAAATATACACATTTATATGTACCAGCTATTTATGAAACAAAATGATATACAGACGAGCTTGTAGACCTATTAGCATTTTTTATGGCCTTTTATAAACTAGTTTGCTTTACGTAGTATCTCACGATATTATACCTGTTCCTACTGAACATTAAATGATTAATCTTTGAAATGTGAACGGTGAAAAATGTAAGCTATATTTTTTATCCTTAACTGTCTGATATGCTTCGTTGCAGGCTTGCCGAAAAAGGTATTACTTGGCACCATATTACAATCATTATAAACTTCTTCTGTGTGTGTATATTCTAAATAATAGCTGCTAGTGTATAATATATTATCAAATTTTGAGTCTCTAGATAAAGGAATATGGCTAGATTGACTCTCGACCTTAATAAAGGCATATGGAATCGGAGATGTGTCCTTCAGTTTGTTACATAATTATACCTTTTTTGTGCACAGTGAATACGTAAATAGTATATGTATATATTTTTTGAAAAATTATTTAATTATTTCTGATATTTTTTTTACAGCTCATAAATTGCGCATTAATAAATAGAATTTATAAAATAGAATAAATAATCATTTAGCAGCAATAATGATTTCTTTTTAGGATAACTGATAGTTTTACAATTGTTAGCTTGTTATATATTTTAAAAATGAATGAATGACAAAATGCACACATATATAGGAAGGAGGCATACATTTCAAGTAAAAGCACAAAAACAGTCGAGGCCTCTAAACGTCATTGGAATCGATTAACCCAGGCACTTCCAATTCAATAGGCGCTGCTGTAGCATCGCTTACATCTACCTGAGATTCTGGCACAATTTCGGCATTATATTCCTTTCCATTGCAGTTATCACCAGACGCTTGCAGCTGCTCCACATTGTCAGATACCACTAGCTCTGGCTCTGGCACTGGCTCTGGCTCAGGCTCTGGCTCTGGCTTCAGTGTTGATGGCAGTTCTTCTCTGGCGATGTCAGATTCGGGCTCCGTAGCCGCTGCCGCAGCTGCTGCTGCCGCTGCTGCAGCCTTTGCCTTTGACTTGGCCTTCTTTTTATTGTTCTTCTTGGCATTGTTTACTCTCTGTTGCTCCTCAGCTGCTTGCCGCTTCTCAGCTTCAGCGGCGGCTATTTTGGCATCATTCGTGGTGAGCAGCTTCATTTGGCTTTGTAAATTGGCTAGCGTTTGCTTAAGCTCAGCACAGTTGCGGGTCATCAGTTCCATTTTGGAATTGTCCGTGTTAACTGGCACAGCTTTGATAGGTTCCGGCTCGGGCGGCAGCTGCGGCATGGCAGGAATTTCAATATTCTTATCCCGCAGAGTCTGGTGTAAGGTTGTGCGCTCAAGTTGCAGGGCGCGCAGGAGCTTCTGCAGTTGCTCCACCTGCTTTTGTAGACGCTCCGACAGCAGATCACGGTGCTGCTTTTCTGTGGCCAGTTCAATAACCGTCGCATTAGCCTTCTCGTATTTTTGGCGCCAAACCAGTGCTTCCTTTTCGATTTTCTTGGTGTGCTTGGACATTTTCTCCAGCTCGACCTTGTAACTGCCAAAGACTTCATTGGACTTCTTAAGCGATTGCTGAAACTCATCATATTTGGCGGTGTAGATGTTGAGCTGCTGTTTGAGCTGTTGCTCGCGCTCTGTCAGATCCTTAATGGCGCGTTGCGCCTGCAACAATTTCTCTAGGCCAATCTGATTTTCTCTGTGTGGCATTAGAAACAGAAAGAGATATATAGTGAATGTTATAATAATATAAATATTATACAGACTTGGTCAGTATCTCCTTTTCCATGGCCGCTTCAACCTGAGCCTTGTTCAGCTTGGCCTGATGCAGCTGGGACTCGAGTTGGACCTGCTCATTCAGTTTTTCCAGGTGCTTCTCGCGTGCCTGATACTGCTCGGCCAGCAGTTTTAACCTAAAAGCA